ACACACACACACACACACACACACACACACACACACACACACACACAAATGTCAATAGAAGCTACAAGAGTGACTAATATTTAAAATAAACTACATGACTTGTATTCTTCTTCTTGTTATTTGACTCCTGCTGTCAGTATAATTCAACCTCATTAAATGTTTAATTTAAAAGTCAATGTCTCAGGAAAATAAAAGGTAATTTTAGAATCAGATAATTATGTACTTTTTGTTTCCACTGCATTGTATTTCTTAATAAAAATATCAAACAAAAACAATGTATGCACCATACACCAAATGTTTATATATATTTGCCGAAAATTATGAGATAGTGAGTTAAAATATTTAGATCGTAATAACATACAATATTGTGACTCTAAGTCTGAAACATATTAAAGGCCATGAGACAGAGGTTTGCTGCTGTTGTCACATACCTGGTAGTTCATGATGGCTCGCAGACACATGATGCAGAGATGAACGTCGTCGGTCTGGCTCACAGCTCGAGAGCTCCTCTGGACTTTCCTGTTTTGGAGAGAGTTGAATCTGCAGGTGAGAGACGCTGCGGTTACGTTGTTGTCCCTACGTCTTCACTCAAATATCTTTATTAACTAATTAGTAAATATGAAAAACAATCCATACAGCCATCATCTACATCCCATAATGACAATAAGGTAAAGTACACAGGAAAGTCAAAATGAGTCAAACTGTAAACTTTGTTTCACGATAAGTTTGAGTGTCACATTCACGCTCAAACGTGTGATAAAGAAACACACGTGCAGTCTGAACCAGAGGCCACCGGGCTATGACAAGAATGCAGTCGCTTCAGATCAGAGAGATTACATGTCGAACAGTGTGTGTGTGTGTGTGTGTGTGTGTTCACGTTACAACTTCATCTGCTGTGCGACATTTTAAAACCTACAGAGATCATTGCACTCGGTTTGAAAACACTGCTGTCAGAAATACATCATTACATCACTGTGCTGCTAACGTTACTAGCGCTCCTGCTCTGTTGTTCACAATGTAGCGTCATCAGGGATCGACGATTAGAAGGCATTCATACCAATCCCCTGATCGCATATTTATACTGAACATTCCTAAAGTAAAACTTTATTTTAGGGGCGGATCATGGCATAACAGCGGTCCGATACAGCACCACTGTAGAGTTTGTCATTTTTATTTGGGACATCAAGCTTCACATGAGTCCATCAAACCTCTCAGCCACTCTGTACGGACCTCACTGTGAAGGCCTTGCTGGCCTTGGAGGCGCTGTGAGTGGGTGAGTTGCTGGCACTTCTGCTCAGATCCTCCACGGACTTCTCCAGGGTCTTTTTATCTGTGGGCACCGTGCCGTTGTCCAAAGTGTCCGCCTCATACCTGCGAGCCAAAAGAATCAGAGTTCACACGGGAAGATAAGAGACGAACATAGTTAGGCCTAACCCAACAAATACCGGTATGTCCAGCTGATACCTACGTGACAGCACTGTGGGCGAAGGACAGATAATCCACAAGAACGTCTAAGCCGTGGTTCTCCTCGTTGAGGAACTCCTGAGCCCAGCTGCAAAGACCAAATACATTTCAACTCAGTGACGCTTTCAGAGGAGATATGGAACGACAAACACGCGTTATCAAGAGATCTGCATCTTTAAAACATGTTGAATTTAATTCATGACGTCTAAATATGTGTTTTACATTCATATTTTTCCTTTCTTCTATTTAACGTATCGTTTGTCACGTATTTATTTGTATTTATTGGATTGTTGTCCACAGATTACTTAGTTTTTCTCTTTATGTTGAGCGTTGGCTTATTGAACTCTTGTCACATTTCTTACTTTTTATATTATCTTATGAAGTCTTACGTGTGTGCAAATAACAAAACACATTTTAGGATTATAAAACTATAAATTACAAACACACTGTTGCATTTTCTATTTAATGCAGGAACAAATAATTACAAGAAGAAACGAATGTATCCAAGAAGCTTTTCAAAGGTTTTTGTTTCAATGAAAGTGTTGCTGTAATGTATTCACACACAGACAAACATCACTTTAATTAAAATCTCCTTCAGAGGCTCAAGTAGGTTTTTAAAACTTTTGTCAGAGTTTTCACTTTGTGTGATATAATCAGACAAAGCCTTGGAGGATTGGAGGGAGACTCACCCGATGTAATTGGTCCTCAGGGAAATCTCCAACTCTCTGAGGATCTGAGTGGATTCCTGGACACGTCTCTTAAACTGCCAGGAGGGAAGTTGTAAAGTCAGTAAAGGCCTCATTATTCAGAAAATGTAAAAGAAGTCTGTTTACTGATCTGTAGCTTGAATTTAAGAAGCAATCACACGAAAAAGAAAAAAACCTTCCTGCCAGTGAAACAAGCAACAAATATTGTTTCTCTAAAAAGCACGAACAAAGAGTGACACAGAAGTCCTTCATGGTCGTTTCATATCACAATAAATCCCATTAATAAAAACTCCGACATGATCTCCTGATTCCAATCAAATCAAATCATAAATGGATTTAATTAAACTAAAAAGGTACCAAACCTTCTGACAGGATGTGAAACATCACATTGCTTCTTTTGTTACCTTCATCCAATTTAAAAATGTTCCCTGAGTCAGCTTCTTTCACTGGACAGTTTTAACGTCTGCAAAGCATCTTTTAAAAGTGACAATATTTACTGAAGGCTGAGGTGATTCAAGAGGGAACTGAGTGGGAGTGTAGAAATGACGGACGATCCAAGTTTGAAACAGACTAGAGATCAGATACCTGAATGACTCGTGTTTTTGGGGAATTTATGAACTAATGCTTTGATGTTTTACAATGAAAGACAGACTCTGCAAAAGGATCCAAATCCGGATTGGGAATAGAACGGTTTTGGTTTTGTTTTGGACAAAAACGGCCGCTACAAAAATGGCTATTAATCAGTCTTTCACATCTTCAACAGCGCGCACACAGGGTGCTCTTGCTGTTCTGGTTCTGGTTGGGTGTAAAAGAAACCATCAGTCTGGGTGCTTCACACCTGTTGTTGGGTTCATCTGATCCGGAACAATGGAAGAGAAGTTACTCTGTTGTATTCTATCGCTGGTCCGGTTCCTGTTGACGCTGACGGGACGTCCTACAGACTGACAGGTGACTCGTTGATTGGACTTCAGGACACACGTGGTGAAATGAAATTCTCTTTGATGCTTCTGATGCGTATTTGTGTTCTTTGATTAATACCTGACTATACGCATTATTAGTATTAGCTTTTGACCTCTTAATCAGGTAATAAAACCTTTGCTGACGTGCTTATATACGTGGCATTAAATACAGATCAATACGACTGCTTCCTGAACAGAGTTTTACAATCAGCAGATGATTTATTAGTAGTTAAAGCTGTTGAAATCTTGCTAAAGTCACAGTAGTTTGCCATCACACCACAAACAAACTGCACCAGTCTGTTTGGAAGCGGGCCGAGAGCTTTTAGAGTGTTAATGTGCTTTACTGGCATGAATGTACCAAGGACAATAATGAGATTATAAAGAAAAAGAATACGGTAAAATTCATATAATAAAGAAAATAGCAGGAAACAATTGCTCTGTGTGATAAAAGACTTTTGTGAAATCATTTTTCACACCAAACAGAAACTGAAGGTTTGAGCTGAGACGTGAGTCCGTTGGGTCGTACCTTCCGACTGACTCCTCCGTGATCAAGGTGACTCTTCAGCTTCTCCAGATAAGCCGATGGTGGATTCTTCACTTGAAACCGCTCCTGAAGATGCAGAGAAACACACACACACACACACACACACACACACACACACACACACACACACACAGAGATCTATAATTATATCTGATTGCGGTACTGCATTAAGGGGGGGGGGGGCAGTTTGATTACACAGCGTCTTTTATGCAAATGTGTTGGATCTCAACGAGCTTCCAGGAATTATTCTACTGGTGCAGCGGTTTTACATCACAAACACTTCAGCTGTAACGGTTTGTCCGTTTTGTAAAAAAATCATCAGTAACAGCTTTCAAAGATTGGCTTCCATCTTTGTGCAGTTATAATTATGATGTATAATTTGAGCAGAGTGAGCGGTGTCCTCTGTCACTCTCCCGTCACGGTGTTCTGGACCTCCCTGTGGTTATTCCGGTGACGTACAGTGTTAATGAGCTTCCTCCCGTGTGCGTTTGTGATGTTTGGTAATCACATTGCGTCACTACATCGATCGCCCTACACTGCACATAGAAAGCCATTGATTGTCCTATTTCTTTGTTAAGTAACCAGAGAGACGATATGCATGATGACAGAGGGGATCTAGAGAGCAGACCCACCTGGTCACAGATCAGGTCCCACTTCTTCTCGTTGTCGTACTGACTGAGGATCTTCACTTTGTCTGGAGGAAGATTCATCGTGTTCTGAAAACAGAGGGAAAGATGCAGAATTTGTTAAAGACATGGCTCCAGTGAGAATCGTCATTAGTCCTATTGGAGTCACTCGTCTGGTACTGAGTCATGACTCCATGAGTCAGACGTCGCTGACTAATATCGGTTCAGTCTGCAGGTCTGTTGTCACAACAGTTGTGTTACGGATGCTGTTACTCATCACGTCCTCACAAACAGACGTCAGATCAGTCTCAGTATCAGCGAAAGCACACAGAAGAATTCACAAATATATTGTTACTTTTGTTTACATTTATACACATGAATACTTTCTCCACAAAAAGTTATTTGTAAATAAAACACAAAACGCATCTGTGAATCCTTCTGTGTGCATTCATTAGTTCTGAGCCTGATCTGACTCCATAGTAACAACACATGACTAGATTAAGAACAGTTGAATTGCACATTAATAACGCTGCTTTGTGTGCAACATCATCTCTAAACAGAAAGCCGATGCTGCACTTTGATGAAGTGCTCGTCCTAAACTCTTGAGTGTCAGCTGATGGGGTCAACGACAACGTTGTTTGTGTGAATGACAAAAAAAATACTCACCACACACTGTAATACACATTAATACACCCGTCGTGGTGTCCCATATTACAGACACATCAGCTGAAGTAATTATAACCCACACATGAAACTGGGCTAGTCGACAGGAGACGCCCACACACTCAGCTAACTCCTCACTTTGTTTCAAAGCTACATCTCTTTATCGGTTTCTCCTCTTCATCCTCACACCTCCTGAAGAAGAGCGACTCCTTCACGAGGTCATCGACACGGACTCTGAGTAAATGTCCAGCAGTCGGTACTTAGTGCTGATTGTACTTTACCTCCGGGCCTCAGCTGAACCGCATAAAACAGCTTTTAAATCGGACTTTTGTTCTTTTATTATATGAAGTAGTTATACAATCATTTCCCTGAGGTACAAGCCGATGCAGTCTAAATACTGGAACACATGGAAGTCTACTGTGCAGACATTAGCGTGCCGAGTTTAAAAACGGGCACAGTGAGTTCCACATGCAGTAAATCAATGCTGCTGTGAGGCTGGATGTGAACCTGATAAATCAGGCCTGAGGATCAATGCTGGTTATACTGTATTTGACCTGCTGGATCACAGAGAAACAAGCTTACTTCACTCTGCTGCACCTTTACAGTATTTATTAATGACATTAAAGAATCACGAGTAGAAAAGGGACTTTTGGAAAAACATCTTAAGGTTTTATTTCTGATTAAAAACTCTAATGTGCTTCATCAGAACTGTGTGGATGTGGCTTGATCAGGTTTGATTGACAGAGACCAACTTACATCTGTGAGAATATTGTCATATTTGTCCAACAATGTCAAACGGACAGTTTAGCAACATGGGTCAGAATATCCCAACTGGTATTTTGTTGGTGAGCAAAAGAGAAGTCGAAGGTTATGTTCCCACTACGAGCGACAAAAGCAACAGAACGGCAATGGTATAAGCTGACGAGTGAAGCCAATGCTTCATGTGTTAAAGCTGCATTCTCTCTAGTGTCCACCAGGGGGCGACTCCTCTGGTTGTATAGAAGTCTATGAGAAAATGACTCTACTTCTCTCTTGATTTGTTACCTCAGTAAACATTGTAAACATGAGTTTATGGTCTCAATCTCTAGTTTCAAGTCTTCTTCACTACAGCATGATGTTCATTTAGTACATTATGGTCCATTTAGAGTCAAACAGACCATAAAGCAGGGGATGCTTTAGGGCGGGGCTACACGGTGATTGACAGGTCTCTATCTACCAGAGACGTATACGGCGTCTCTACGTCACTCCTCCTTAGTCCAAATATGGTCACTTCCTGTTCACCGGTTGCAAAAAAGCCAAGATGGCGACAGCCGAAACGCAGAACTGGAGGCTTCAAAACACACAAACTAATGAATGACGTCCCGACGACTACGTCCACTTCTTACAGTCTGTGGTTCACGCTGGAATCTGAATTTGGCCACATTTCAAAAATTATGCAAAAAGCCAAACAAATAAAATTATATGCGAGCAATAAGCCAGAATCGAGCACTAAGGTTTGCAGTGTGATCAGCTTGTCCCATTTAGTATGTCCAAACCCAGTACAACATGTTGTAAAATGAGGACATGAATGTTCGTGATAAGTGTGAAAGCAAGTTGTCACACTCAAATTAACACTCTCGCCATGACAACCTGCACAATAACTGCCTCCGTGTGCTCAAGGATCACAAATCCCTCCAACTCTGCTTCAACATGCTGATTTAAGCGGCATTAAAAAGTTAAAATCAGCGACCTTTATGCCTGCTGTTAGCACACACACACCGTCAAAACATTATTGGAAACAACAGCTGTGAATTCAAGAGGCTGAGAATGTTAGCAGGAAGACGACATGTTGAATCCAGCAGACAGAAGAAGTGGGACATGCACAGAGACGCGTTCCTGCATTTCTAAATGTGCTGACGGTCCCCAAAGGACGGATCAATGAAACGTCATGTGAACAGGAACGAGCTGCGTCTGCAGCAGTGGATGAATAATTACTGTCCTCCTTCGTCTCCCCGTTCAACCCGACTAACAGTACAACGCTGAGTCTGTTGCATCACATGTGATCACAGGGAAACACATTTAAGGATCAATACATCTATTTAATAAAGGAAAAGGCTAAGTGCACTGCATTTCATTATCTGGTGTAAATGTCATCCTGATAAAATCATGTTTAAAGAAATGAAATGCATATTAATGTCTGGTGTGAAAGTGTAAGTCAAGATCTCAGACTGAAGTGGACGAAGTCACCGTGAAGTCACCTGTTGGTTTGTGGACTAATGTTTTGAAGCCTCGAGTTCAGCATTTTGTTTAAGTTTTCTGTCGTCGCCATCTTGGTTTTTGGAACCAGAAGTGACATGAGGGGGTGGAGGTTATACTGGGCTATGCTATTGCCTGGCTACCGGTATTGCTGCTGACAGCGTTTTTGGGGGGGACGTGCCCATTGGTTGCACCGCCTGGTGAAGATATGGCTTTAAAGGTCTTCTTTGTAGAGATAACATCCCTGATGTTGTGATCATTCGGATGAAGCTAACAGTTTAACAAAAAACTGCTAACAAGTGCGTAAATGTTATCTCCTTTTCTCTGCGTCTGTAAATACAGTACACAAATCCACAGATGTATATTTACAAGTCCACCCACTGCCACGTTCCCTGTTGGGAAATATGCAAAGTGTTATGCAAAACAGTGGGGGGGGGGGGGGGGGGGGGGGGGAGTGCTCCAAGTAAATTTGGATTTGACTGGCGTCATCAGAGTCACATGCAGCACAGCACTGAGAGGACTTCTGCTGCTCCGATATTGATTCTCTCAGTTTGAAAGCACTGCAGTGGCATCGCACAAATCCATCACAATATGAGTGAAACATCAATAAGAGCTGCTCATAAAACAAAAAGAAAAACACTGGCTTTTTTAAAGCACGTAAATACTGCATGTTCACATGCAAATGTGAGCACACACACATATTGTCCTCCACCTCCCAAAGCCACACCTGTGAGGGAAAGTCCGACACGTTGAGCCTCTGCAGAATGAGACCAGGGACGGTTTGCTGCATCCCTCACTGTTACCTCCTCACTCACAGGCTGGTTTGTATGCAGACGGAGTATCTTCTCCATTTAGAACAGGAGATTTTGCTATGCAGACTCAGCAGAAGACGAGTGTGTGGGGGTCTGTTTGGTGGAAGAGATGATCTATATGTTGTGGAATAGGATGGCGCTGAAGCAAAAAGGCACACTTGTTCAGCAGAGGGTGGGAGGTGACATGATGTATCAGATGCAGCAAACAGTTAAACTGCAGCAGAGTGATGCCTGTTTGCACATGAGAGACTGCTCATGAGAGACTGCACATGAGAGACTGCAC